AATTTTCAACCCTTTCTTCATGTTAACCTAAGTCATGGATGAACCAAGTAATGAACTTCATAGCAACAAACACAACATCAACCTATTACCTGCAATTTCAAACCTAGATATCAAACCCAAATATCAAACACTTTTGAACATGAAATTTCGATTTTATTCGACTCCTTTATAGAAGATAGATACATTCAAAATTAAAGAAAAAAAAAGAGAAACAAAAAAGATGATTGTAACCCAGAACTTGGCTTCTTCGAGGAACCTAGATCTAGGTTCCTCGGGGAACCAAGAAACTGGGTTCTTTGAAGAACCCAAAAATGGGTTCCTCACGAAACCTAGATATGGGTTCCTCATGGAACCTAGCAACTAAGTTCTTTGAGAAACCCAAGATGATGAAGAGTTGAAGAGGATGGTGGATGCCAAGGATGAGAAAGAAGAAGATGAAGAAATTAGTTAATTTTGTTAAATTTTTTTTTTATTCATGGATTAAGAAGCAAAACTTTTAATTTTTACACGAGGCATTAAATATTTAGATGAAATATTTAAGCAATTTCCACATCATTTATAATATTATTTATATAAAAAATAATTGAGTAATTTCGTTAATTAACGTGACATATCAACAAAAATTTAACGGAGGGACCAAAAAGTGGTCGGATTTTAAACTTTAACAACAAAAAAGGAGATTTTTTTAGTACAAGAACCAAAAAGGGGCTTTTTACAATAGTAGAAGGACCCAAAAAGATATTTAACCTTAACAATATATTATAAATACAATCGATTCAATTGATTCTTGTATTTCATATGTATGATTGCATTCTTAAGTTTGTTTGCTTTTAATTTAGACTAGAAAATGATGATTTTTTAATTAGTGTGTTATGTGATGTGTTGAATTAGAGAGGATATTGATTGGTATATCATCCAGTTTAATATAATGTATAACACAATTATTAAAAAATCATTATTTTTTGATTTGAAATTATAGGTGAATAAATTTAAAGATATAATCATGCATATAACATATAAGAACCAGTTGAATTAACTGTACTTATACTATATTTTAATAGCTAAATTGGATAAGTATCGAAATGTGTGTCGAAGTAGAAAATGTACTAATCATTTTCCTTTAATTGATGTTCACAAAATATATGTTTCTATCAAATCAATAATTTTTTTATAGGATATCCTATATTATTTCTCTCATACAAACCTTGGCCGACTCCCTTTTTCTCTCTCTCTCTGTCTCTCTTGCCCTAGCAGACATGTTTATCCCCCTTCTCAATTAGGGAGGATGAATAAATGTAGGATTGTCTCCATTTATTTGAGGGTTTTCTCTCAAAGAGGATTTGTCACTCTTGTTTGAAAGTTTCTACCTAACTTTTCTCGATGTATCTAATCAAATTTTGCTTGTAATAGAGAATAAATATAGTGTAGATTTGTGGCTAGATAAACTTTGTTCAATTGTTGCACTTTTTTCAGTTGTTGACAACATGGTCAAAGGTTAAAGTCCTTGACTAATCTTTTGCCTCAAAAATCATGATTGCATGCTAAAATAAGGTGGTACAATAAGTGTGATTGTTGGAGGTGATGAAAAAAAGACTTAAGAGTCACCTTTCCATGTGTTTACATAGCCCCATTGATAGCTTATGGTAAATGTTGATATTTTAAAGCTCTCTACAATTAGATCATATCATTTCATTCATATTATGAGCAATATCTCTTTGTATTAGTGCTATAAAACCTTTCTAGTATTTTTACTTTTATTGCCTAATTTATACAACAAGAGTACATCTTAAATTGTATCTATTTTAATATTTTTAATAAAACTATACTTTTCTAAGAAGACTAATATAATTTTTTATCAGATTGAGCATAACTTGACATGAGCATTACTTAAAAGTATAAAGAATAAGATGCTTGCTTTTATTGTGGGGCAGCGGTTGAAGGAGATCAACACTTTCAACTTTTTGTGCCTTCTGAATTAGCTTTTATATATTCTTCTTAATAACAAACGGCGTTTAAAAAGTGTACATGTATGAACTTCTATGGTTATACATAGGGCAAAATATACTTGTTCCATATTGGTTTAGACCTTAGGGCAGATATGTTAAGAGTTTCTTTGGCATATTATTAATATATCTTAGTCATATAGTATTTCAAACTCCGCCCTCTAACTTTCGAACTTCAAACCACCACAATGGTGACTTTTAGTTTCCAAAATTTAAACCTCTAATATCTATATACATGTTACTTGTACTGTGGTACAGATCATTTTCCACATCAAGATTCGACTTTAATCTCGTCAAACGATTCCACGTATCAAAATCAATCTCTCATCCCCGTTTTTTCAAATTTAGACACAGCGGATCCAAGTATTCTGATTCTCAACGGATTTACTCTGCTTTCAATTCTTTTTCCACTTCACTGTTGCCTCGTGTAACGGATAAGTCGATATCTTTTGCAATTCTTTTCTCACTTCAATTGCTTAAGTGTATCTTTACAGATAAGAAGACAGAAAGTCAAGCATCCTCAAGTTTGTGGCTCGTTAAAACTACCGTTGCCAATGAAACCAGGTTTCCTTTACTCAAAGATTTACAAGATTTCAAGTTTAAATATCTCAATTCATAATTATAGAATCTTACGAAAAATATTCATTCTGCTATACTTACAATGTCACCTAAAATTATAAATTTACAATTATAAAATGTTATTAAATGAGTGTGTGATATGTCATTAAACCAATATGACATACAATGTTATTGATGAATTCATAAGTGAAAAGAATCAATTATATAAAAACACATCATGTTATAGGCTTATAATGAAGTGATACGGATCCCTGTGTAAAAAGAATTAATTATATAATAACATATCATGTTATAAGCTTATAATGCTGAATGACATTATAGTTATACAATTTTCATTGAGAATAATTCCATACGAAGGCAAAAGCGACCTACCACATACAGAAGGCCTAAATAGATTCTTTTGAAATTGCATTCACAATGCTTTTCCGCACAATCATGCAATACTAAAAAATGCTAATTTATCATAACTAAAGTGATTTCAACTAATCTTTTGTATACTTGAAGTAATAATTCTTATGCAGGGCACAACACAATAACATTCAATTCCAAACAGACCCCACTCAATTCAAGCCATGATGACAAATCATAGATTACCAAATTTGGCTAACATCAATGCTCGAAAGAGTAACATCCATACTAAAAATACATCAACATACCTTACAATGCACTGTGATGAAAAGCTATGCATGAAAGAAAATGCAACATCACGTTAGTTGAACAAGGTCTCATGCTACTTCCGCAGTAAACTATAACAAGGTTATGTTATCCATTTAAAGTTGGATGAGATTATTAAAGATGGTATTAACAAAAAAACAGGATAAGATATTTCTTTTTCTTTTGGACGACCAACAGGATAAGATAAGTGTTTACTCTGATTTCTAGCCACACCAGTTCATATTGACACAACATGCATTAAGGAACAGAAATTACCAACTAAAATTATATTTTATGAATGGTAATGAAGGAATTACCTCACATTATGGGATTCTTGTTCTCAAACTGAAGTGTGTCAGAATAAATCCTTCATCAAAGCCACTGAAAATTCATGGCTCAGCCATCATCTCATGATTTGAGTTATCCAGGAATTTTGGCCTTGCAGGTTGGACACATATAACCAACAGAATCTGATTGTAGATCAGAATCAATGTTATCCTGGTTGAACTCTACCCCACACCATACACAAACAGTTGTGAGCTGATGTCCTGGGGCTGTATTCAATGCAACTTCTGATTCAAACTGAATGGAGGAGCCATATGGGCCTCCTATGTCAGTACTGGTTGCTAAATCTATTGGCACCTCAGGCAAGGAGGGAGATTCCTGCCCAGCTAAACTGAATTTAAACTGCTCCATGTCATCCAACCTCAGGTCCTCATCAAATCCTGATGCATTGTCATGCCTTTGATCACTACTGCATAAACCATCTTCTCCCTGTTGATAAACATAGAGAAAAAAAAAATATAAAACTAATATTCAATTAAGAGTTAAAACAAATAAGTTCAACCAAACACTTAGATCTGGCAGCTACAAGAAATTATGCCTTTCAAGATTCCAAATAGTACTAGATTATCATGGAAAAACAAAAGCCAAAATCCAACAGGGGAAGTCAAAGGCGCAAATGCAAGAAAAAGACACTTACCAGGTGAATTAAGGCACTAAATTCAAAAAAAGCTGTAAATATACATAGGAATGAAGAAGCTTTAAACTATTATAACCACAAAAATAAAACACACACTTTTAGTACTAAGCAATTTGCTCCATTGCCTTAATTCACCTTATTTGTCTTAACTCTTAATTGAATACCATAACCCTCCAATCCTGATGCATTGTCATGCCTTTGATCACTACTGCATAAACCATCTTCTCCATGTTGATAAACATAGAGAAAAAAAAAAATATATATATATATATATATATAAAACTAATGTTCAATTAAGAGTTAAGACAAATAAGTTCAACCATCCACTCAGATCTGGCAGCTACAAGAAACGATGCCTTTCTAGATTCCAAACAGTACTAGGTTATCATGGGAAAACAAAAGACAAAATCCAACAGGGGAAGTCAAAGGCACAAATGTAAGAAAAAGGCACTTGCCAGGTGAATTAAGGCACTAAAATTCCAAAAAAGTTGTAAATATGCATAGGAATGAAGAAGCTTTAAACTATTATAACCCACAAAAATAAAACACACTTTTAGCACTAAGCTTTGAGAAGCTTGCAATTTGCTCCATTGCCTAGTGCAATGTAAAGATCAGACCGAGTCACCATCAGACCAGCTCTAAGTTCCTTAACTTCCATTTTCTTCAGACGTTTGCAGTGCTCTGAAATTCTGATTTGCCAGTGGCCCCAAATTAGTTTCAAGCTTAATGCACAGTAAGAAAAAGAGTGGCAGGGCATATGTGGAAGATGTGTTTAGACAACTCACTACCTTTCTACATTCCATTGAAAAGAACATGCATTGGCATGTTTTCTGATTAGAACTACAATTTGTAAAAGAATAAAATACAGAAGAACCTAGATGCACGTTGATAAAAAGCTGAGCACCTTAGTAAAGACAACTTGACTGGCGGAGTATAAGGATTAAGGAAGGACCTAAAACAATTGCACTTCACATCTGAGCCTATCTGTGCGCCTTGACTACACTACATTCAACTATAATCATATATCATATATGAACTAAATGCATGGAAACTATAGATATGGGAAAATGCAACATCTTATATTGCATAGAAGAAAACTACTGATACACTACAAATTTATAACCTTAATTATAAAGATGATTATACCTTCTCTAGTTGAATATAAATCTGAACATTTTAGAACTAATCAAACAGAAACTAATGCTAATGATAACAGCCAGCTATTTTGGTGATAAAGATTGACCTATATAATCAATTTAAAGGAAAGCTTATCATCAAATCTACTC